ACTAACACACAGATAAACACACACACTAACACAGATAAACACACACACACTAACACACAGATAAACACACACACACTAACACACAGATAAACACACACACACAAACACACAGATAAACACACACTAACACACAGATAAACACACACACTAACACACAGATAAACACACACACACTAACACACAGATAAACACACACACACTAACACACAGATAAACACACACACACAACACACAGATAAACACACACACTAACACACAGATAAACACACACTAACACACAGATAAACACACACACTAACACACAGATAAACACACACACTAACACACAGATGATCTCGGTGATTTCAGAGAGCAATCTTAATTAACGGTACAGTTTCTGAGATGAAGCCCGTCTGGAGGCTGGAACTGAATTCTCCTGAGTGTTTTCACATATTTAGATCGATCGTGTCCAAAAATAAGGGTTAATAACCCAGAAAAGAAATCCCAGATGAAAGGGTCAAATTTACAAGAAGAAAAATTCCCTGAAATTAAAGTCACAAAAATCTAAATCCCTCTGGTGTTTTCTTGTGAATGCGCCCGATCCAAGGCGAAGTCTCTGAGGTGCCTGATGGTGACTGTGGGCTGAACTCGCTGCTGAATCTGTTTGTGAAGTCTAACTTTCCACTGCACACAACGCACTGCAGACGTGTGTGTGATGTTGCAGCCTTGCAAAGTGAAGTTTCTCTCACAAATGTTTGAATACAGTGTCAGAGAATATTCAAGGTTTTAACTTTAAGATTTGTGATTATTAGTTTCTTCTAAATCTACCACAGTAATCTTTAAAACTGGCTCCTTTTTTCCTGTTACAGTGGACCTTATGTGCGGTTGGACCTTTCCATCTTAATCATGTTACAGATAAATGAAGAGCCCATAAAACACATCATAGAGAATCAGCCTACAATAACAACACTGGGAAGATATTTAGAGATTTACTCGACGCCAACGGGCCTCCCTGGCTCTGTCGGCCGCCACACTGTTAGATTTAGCCGTCAACGTGTCTTTAAACTCCTCGTATCCTGACACACTACCACCGTGCGTCCTACTGGAGAAATACGAAGAATAACTCTGCCTGCACGGCCGAACACGCCACTTTTATGCCAACACTAATGAACCAGCGGTATCGACGATCCCGGCAAACGACCCCACAGGTCAAACAGCTGAGTGTCCCTGCCAGCCAGTCAGAAGTCTCTCGGATGAGGGACAAAACGTCTTCTGACTTTAAGCTTCTTTGGATAACTCTGACCTGGAGGACTGAGAACCTTCACTGACATCTTTCTATCCTAATATCAGGATTGATGAAGACAAAAAAATATTTTTTAAACATCCAGACAAAAAAAGACCAGATAAGGAGATAATCAGCATGACCGAAATTCTTTTCACAAATTAAAGGCACAGTCGTGAGAAATACGTGTGCCCCAGCCTACGCTCACATTTTCAGGCCTCAGTAAGGTGCAGAAACTTACAGACACGTGTGTGGAACACGTCCTGTGGACGACTCTCAGGTATTTCTCTAACTCAAATCAGCACATTACAGGAAACTCCCAGACTGGAGATTCAGGGCACAGATGCTCCAGCATTGCTCCACAAAACCCGTTACCACCCTGAGCACACTTGCTGGACCGGTTCCGTGCAGCCCCCTGCAGCGGGGGCAACTTTGTGCTTTTAATGGAGATGATGTTCCAAATTTAGTATGACTTCAACCTATTCATGTGACACATCCACATCAAGCTAGGATGCTCATGCTCACTAGATTTACCTAAACCAAACACAAAGACCAAGCGAGCTTACAGTCCAACACTGAGCACTCTGATTGTTGTGGACCGTCAGCCCGTCCTGGGGCCTGCACCACGAAGCCAGTTCAGCATACCCAGGATATGTTTCAGTTATCTGGCTTCACTAACCCCGACAGTCGTGATCGGGATAAGCGGTGCCACGAAGCTGGTTATCAACTCGGTAAGTCAACCCAGCAGGGAGCATGTGCACATAAAAGAGGCGGTGCTAGCAGCAGATGACCAATCACAGACATGAAGTCCACTGGCAGCAGAGCGTCATATTTTACGAACAAGTACTGAACTGTAACACTGCAGAAATACGACAGCATCACGGCTGCAGCTGACTCATGCAGGAGACGTGGTGAACGCCTAAATGAACAGTAGTAAAGCGTTGATCTGTGTTCTGATGAGCTGCAGGAAAATCTCAGCCTTGTTCTTTCAGCTCGGCTGTGTCGGCGTTTCCACATTTAAAACTCGGGTCGTTCCACCTCACTTCAAAAATGAGATTAATTTATTCAACACACTCAATCCAATCATTGTTCTAAATTAACTTCAGAAAGCAATGAAACAAAATCTCCTTCATGCCATAAAATGAGCTCAGATCGCTGGAAGACTGAATCTGAACATTCAGGCTGCTGGAAACGTGACCCGTCTCTGTGATAGACTTTCTAACCTAAAACAAACAGCCTACGCTTGTATTCAAATGGAGTATTTCAGTATCCCTGCCAAACCGCTCATATTATTCTGCCTCACACAAGAAAAATGAAACCCGTTTATTTATTTTAGACAGACGTATTTAGGCTGTGTGAGACGACTGGGAGCAAATCAAAAATGTTAAACTCATTTCAAAGCCGTTAGAAGGTTTACAGTAAAAACCTGCAGGTCTACAGTGACCTGATGATGTCGCTGTAGAGTTTCCGTCTCACGGCTGCATCATGAAGCAGCCTATAAACAGTCTGTGGGACCTCCTACAGATGGTGACATCATTTTCCAAGAGAGCTGATTGGTCAGTAGGCGGCGTTTTCACAGAGTTGATCTCTAATCTGGATCAGCCGTTCAGCATCAGTTACCATGGCGATCTACCCCGGTAAGAAGTGAACCGATGCGCCCACAGACGGTGTCTTACCGGACGAAGCCCCCCCGCTGGTTTGAATGGAGAGCAGTGAAGCCAGTTTTGGACCAATAAAATACTACTACAGGGCTACTTCCTGTCGGCAGCAGCGTCTTCTGCGCATGATCGCGCAGCACAACCGCGGTGTAACGACGTAGAGCGGCGGCAGAAACAGCGTAGTCCTGGTAGCTGCTCCAACATGAAGTCTCAGAGAGTTTGAGTCGGATCGTCTCTGATTAATCAGCCAAACACCAACGCAGCGTCACTGATGGACCAATCGTTTCTGATTCGCTGAGAGTTTCTAATCTGAGCAGCATGGTTACATCCCTCATGTCTCAGGGTTTGGACCTCATTTCTGGGTCCATGCAGGCTTTGGTCGGCTTCACTGTTCGATCTCTGGCATACCCCCTTGGATGCGCCGCCATCTTTAAGACTGTCCTGCTTTCTTCTTCTTCTTGTTGGCAAACAATGACTTGAAGCATTCCTGCCAGCAGCTGGTGTGAAGTGAGTGTGGATCAGAATGACTCGTTTAAATCTTCTTCATCATATTAGTTTTTCTGAAATATTCGCGTTCTTTCGCAGAGTAACCGTTAAACCAAAGTGAGGTCGTGTCATTCGGAGCGCTGGAATGATCTGACTGATGTTTGTTTTACCATCATGGATCTGAGTTCTCTTCCTTCCTTCCCTGTCTGAAGATGCTCCTGATCTGTAGGACGCCACGCAACCATAATCTAACCCTGATCCGATTACCCTACATGAATAAGGTCCTTCACCGGCCATGGGAACGATCATCAATGTTCACTGTCTTTATTAATAGTCCGATGTTTGATTTGTAACACGGTTCAATGAAACTGTTTGGAAATCCAGCTGCCAGTAACCATGGAAATGGAAACATGGCTCAGGTGCTGTTTTCACTTTTGACCACCAGGGGGCGTTCTGGCTCTTTTATTGAAAACTAAACGCAGCTGGTGTCTTCGGTTTCTTCCTCTCATCTGTGCATCTGGTCACAGTGATTAGGAAGATGGGAACAGAATCACTGCAGCTTTCAGACCCTGAACCAAGAGACGTTTCAGCGCTAAACATCTATTTAACACGATGAGTGTAACAGCATGCGGGTGACACCGTGTTCGAGACTTACTCAACGCTCCACCTGTTGGATGGACCTTAAAGTTCAGCAGCTGGATTTCAGAGTCCCCCTGAAGTTCAGGGCAGGCGGGGATGTGGAGCAGCTAGCGGTTCTGATTGGAGCACACCGGTCTGGGAGGTTCCAGGTATGTATTTAAAAAAACACTACCAAGGTCCCGAGTCCAGTCCGGTAGGGTATCGTAATCCATTTTTATCCAATAACAGAAACCTTTCCACACAGACCCTGAGAGCTGGGGGGGGGTCGTCAGCCCAGAGACCCTAAACACCAAAGGGCCGCAGACATTCACTCTGAAAATGAGTCCGTGGACAGTTCTGGTTCTTCTGCTCATCACTGACGGAGACCGACACCAGTCCATCCAGATCCCACCAAAACCTTCCCCTTGGACCGGTTTCAGGTCTCCAGGACCTTCAGTGAAATAGTTTCTGGCCCAAAAGTCACTTCGGCCTGTTTAACTTTATGAAACAGAGTTGGCTTTTCACAATAAGAGCTTGAAACAGACGTTTGAATAAAGGAACAGAGTCAGATCGAGTATCTCAGTAGTGTTTAATGTGAAGGACTCGTTTACAACAGCACACCGCAGAACCACGTCTGGACCCAAACTTTACATTGAAACCAGCAGTTTGTCCTCTGCAGGACAACATAGATCTCAAGTCCTGTCAACTCTTGTGTTTTCTTCACTGAACCCCTTTTTTTAAAGTGTCCATTTAAAGTCTTTGGACTCTAATGACGGACTTTGTTTTGAAAAATAAACTGTTTTATTTTAAACTAAACTAAAATATATTAAAGTAAAACAAAACACGTGAAACCGTTTACCTGGACGTCAGGAGGACACAGTGTAAACAGCATCATTTATATGGAGTTGGTCTCACACCATTACAAACTGGAGTCACTCCGGTTTCCAACACAGATCTGGTGCTAACTTGAACCTGCAGGCAGAACTGAGGGCTTACAACACAACACATATTGGAAATATATTGGAAACATATCAGCGTTCGTCACCTGTCTGTCTCAGTAGTACCTGTCTCTCTCTCTCTCTCTCTGTCACGTGACATGTCTCACCTCAGGCTCCACCCACACAGTTGGACGTGGCCTAACACATCTGTCAATCATTGGTCCACTTCAGGAGACACCTGCTGACATCAGTGAGTGCACCTGAACGCATCACCCAACACCTGACGGGTGTGTCTTCAGGTAAAGACTCGTTTATCAGCGCAGCATCTGGATTGGTTCACGCCTACTTATGATGTCATCAGACTGTAGGGGGAGGAGCCTGAAATGTGACAGCCAAAGATGGGTAGATGTTTTCTCATCTGTCTGTCTGTCTCCACCTATTTGTCTGTGTCTGTCTCCACCTGTCTGTCTGTCTGTCTGTCTTCATCCGTTTGTCTGTCTCCACCTATTTGTCTGTATATGTCTCCACCTGTCTGTCTGTGTGTCTTCATCCGTTTGTCTGTCTCCACCTATTTGTCTGTGTCTGTCTCCACCTGTCTGTCTGTCTTCATCCGTTTGTCTGTCTCCACCTATTTGTCTGTGTCTGTCTCCACCTGTCTCCACCTGTCTGTCTGTCTGTCTCCACCTGTCTGTCTGTCTCCACCTGTCTCCACCTGTCTGTCTGTCTCCACCTGTCTGTCTGTGTGTCTTCATCCGTTTGTCTGTCTCCACCTATTTGTCTGTGTCTGTCTCCACCTGTCTCCACCTGTCTGTCTGTCTCCACCTGTCTGTCTGTCTGTCTTCATCCGTTTGTCTGTCACCACCTGTCTCCACCCCTCTGTCTGTCTCCACCCGTCTGTTTTTCTGTCTGTCTGTCTCCCTCCACTCATCAGTCTGTCTGTCTCCACCCGTCTCCCTCCACTCGTCAGTCTGTCTCCCTCCACCCGTCTGTCAGTGGAAGACTGTCTGTCTCCAGCGTTTGTCCGGTGTGAACGGCCACAGACAGTCGATGATGGCGGAGGTGAAAGGTCGCGGCTCCACGCTCAGGTTCAGCAGCTCCAGGCGGGAACAGTTTAACTGGCTGTTGATCGGACGAAGAGTCGACGCCGCTGGCTGCTCCGTCAGCTGTAGGTTCACAGACAGCTGTGTCAATACTACAAATACCTCATACTATATTAAAACAAATACTACACGTCACATGAGAGTATTTATAGTTATACTGGTATTTGTTCTAGTTACAGTACTGCGAATAAATACTGAGAAATATATTACAGGTACATTAGTAAACAGTGATTAATCAGATCAGTGGATATTTACAGGGATGAGGTGGCTGGACGGCAGGTTGAAGGCCTGAGCGATCGCGACGGCCATCTCATATTTAGTCATCTGCTCTTTACCTGAGAAATGAAAGATTCCTCTGATAGACGGGTCCTGGAAGAGAGACAGGCGGGCAGTGAGTGAGACAGGCAGGCAGAGAGACAGGCAGAGAGACAGGCAGGCGGGAAGAGAGACAGACAGGTAGAGAGACAGACAGACAGCTGCCCACCTGTCTCCTTCTCTCGGACAGCTTCCTGCAGACAGCAGCGACGTCCCGGGTGTCGGTGGGGAACCTCTGCTGGCAGTGATCCAGGGTGCAGCTCTCTGACGCCTCCTGGACTTTCAGCCACAGCGATGTCACGGCGCTCTCTGACACCGACTCCACCTCCCCGAACAGAACCGGCACCCGCAGCACCACTGCACCTGAGACAGAGACAGGAAATGAGAACACAGACAGGTGAGAGTCAGAGACAGGTGAGGGACACAGACAGGTGAGAGTCAGAGACAGGTACCTGGACAGTGTCTCAGTGTCTCTCTCTCTCCCTCCAGTTTGCTGCGTCCATAAACGTTCAGAGGATTGGGACTGTCGTCTTCTCCGTACGGAGGATTCCTGCCATCGAACACATAGTCGGTGCTGATGTAGAGGAAGAACGCTCCGCAGACAGCTGCACACGTCATCATCATCACCAAAGACACAACACATAAATCGTGAAAGAAAAGCAGAAAAAAGATAAGTTCAAGTTTATTTAGATAACACATTTAAAAACAACACTAGTTGACTATAGTCTATAGCAACATCACCTTCACTGTGTGTACCTCTGTGTGTATATTGTGTAGTGGCCGCCCACCCTGAGTCATGGTTCTGCTCGAGGTTTCTGCCTCTTAAAGGAAGTTTTTCCTTGCCTCTGTCTCCTAGTGCTGCTCTTGGTGGGAACTGTTGGGCTTCTGTAAATAGCATCACAGAGTACGGTCTAGACCTGCTCTTTATGAAAAGCGCTGTGAGATAACTGTTGTTGTGATTTGGTGCTATATAAATAAAATTCAATTGAATTGACCAAAGTGCTTTCCAACAAATATACATGACAACAGTAGAAAAAGTAATAAATTAAATAAATGTCACTACTCAACTCTGTTTGAAACATGTGGCCTGTACCGACGAAGAGGAAGAAGCAGACAGCTGCCACATATTATCCACAAAACAAACCCAGAGGGATCAATAATAATAATAATAATCAGCTTTATGTCTTCCTGATCGCTGCTGACACCTGATCACAGTCACACACACGGTCTCCTGTTAACTAACATGTAAAACCTTCAGATGGATTGTGATGGACAGAGAGCAGAGCACAGCTGGATCTGATTTCAATTTCAATTCAATTTCAATTTCAATTTTATTTATATAGCGACAAATCGCAGCAATGTTATTTACAGAAGCCCAAGAATTCCCACCAAGAGCAGCACTAGGCGACAGAGGCAAGGAAAAACTTTCACTGTGTGAACACATTTTATTATTAAACCATTCCTGATCACACACCTGCCTCCTTCGCGAGCGTGCTCGTGGCATGCACATTGAGATTTACAGCAGCTTCAGTGTGTCTCTCCACAACATCTGGACGTCTCTCGGCTGCACAGTGGACAATCACATCAGGCTGAAAGAGATATTCAGAACATTAAATGTTTATCACAGCCACGTTTCTTTAAAAACAAGAATATAGTACAGTGCCGTATACAGTGTCCAGTACAGTGTCGTATACAGTGCGCAGTACAGTGTCGTATACAGTGTCCAGTACAGTGCGCTATACAGTGCGCAGTACAGTGTCCAGTACAGTGCGCTATACAGTGCGCAGTACAGTGTCGTATACAGTGTCCAGTACAGTGCGCTATACAGTGTGCTATACAGTGTGCAGTACAGTGTCCAGTACAGTGCGCTATACAGTGCGCAGTACAGTGTCGTATACATTGTCCAGTACAGTGCGCTATACAGTGCGCAGTACAGTGTCCAGTACAGTGTCCAGTACAGTGCGCTATACAGTGCGCAGTACAGTGTGCAGTACAGTGTCCAGTACAGTGCGCAGTACAGTGTCGTATACAGTGTCCAGTACAGTGCGCTATACAGTGCGCAGTACAGTGTCCAGTACAGTGTCGTATACAGTGCGCAGTACAGTGTCGTATACAGTGTCCAGTACAGTGCGCTATACAGTGCGCAGTACAGTGTCCAGTACAGTGCGCTATACAGTGCGCAGTACAGTGTCGTATACAGTGCGCAGTACAGTGTCGTATACAGGGTCCAGTACAGTGCGCTATACAGTGCGCAGTACAGTGTCGTATACAGGGTCCAGTACAGTGCGCTATACAGTGCGCAGTACAGTGTCGTATACAGGGTCCAGTACAGTGCGCTATACAGTGCGCAGTACAGTGTCCAGTACAGTGTCGTATACAGTGCGCAGTACAGTGTCGTATACAGTGTCCAGTACAGTGCGCTATACAGTGTCCAGTACAGTGCGCTATACAGTGCGCAGTACAGTGCGCTATACAGTGCGCAGTACAGTGCGCTATACAGTGCGCAGTACAGTGTCCAGTACAGTGCGCAGTACAGTGTCGTATACAGTGCGCAGTACAGTGTGCAGTACAGTGTTGTATACAGTGCGCAGTACAGTGTCCAGTACAGTGTCGTATACAGTGTCGTATACAGTGCGCAGTACAGTGTGCAGTACAGTGCGCAGTACAGTGTCCAGTACAGTGTCGTATACAGTGTCGTATACAGGGTCCAGTACAGTGGTGTATACAGTGCGCAGTACAGTGCGCAGTACAGTGCGCAGTACAGTGCGCAGTACAGTGCGCAGTACAGTGTCCAGTACAGTGCGCAGTACAGTGTCGTATACAGTGCGCAGTACAGTGTCGTATACAGTGCGCAGTACAGTGTCGTATACAGTGCGCAGTACGGTGTCGTATACAGTGCGCAGTACGGTGTCGTATACAGTGCGCAGTACAGTGCACTATACAGTGCGCAGTACAGTGCGCGGTACAGTGTCCAGTACAGTGCCCGGTACAGTGTCCAGTACAGTGCCCGGTACAGTGTCATATACAGTGTCGTATACAGTGCGCAGTACAGTGTCGTATACAGTGCGCAGTACAGTGTCGTATACAGTGCGCAGTACAGTGTGCAGTACAGTGTCGTATACAGTGTGCAGTACAGTGTCGTATACAGTGTGCAGTACAGTGTCGTATACAGTGTGCAGTACCTTGTACTCTTGCAGTAGTCCTCTGACAGCGTCCTCATCTGTGAGGTCACAGCGGAGGAGGCGGGGTCTGGCTCTTCTGTATCCAGTCCCGATAACCAACCAGCCGCTGCTCTGAAACTCACTGCAGACAGCTCGACCCAGAAGACCAGTTGCCCCGGTAACTAGGACTGTAGGAGCCGGGACCACAGCCTCCTCCTGGAGTAAACAACACTGCATCAGTACTATAATGAGGGCTAACAACCCTTAACACATCAGGACCAGGACCACAGCCTCCTCCTGGAATCCACACTACATAAGTACTGCAAAGTAGTACTACAATTACTACTACATTTAGTTTCTGTGAGTGTCCTTGGTTCTTTAAACTGTAATTTAAACTGTAAAGGCAGTTCAGACTAAAAGAACAAGTTCTTAAAACTCTCCAGCTCAAATAACACAGTATCAATCATGCAAGTACAACAGAATACAAGACGTAAAATAATGTAGAATAAACAATAATACTGTGGTAGACACAGTAATGAACAGCGACGGTTCTGCAGCTCAAATATTAGGGCTGTTCCCGACTTAGGATTTACATAATCGAATCACAATCGTCTAGTCTTGCCTATAGTCGACCAATAGTCGATTCATGTGTGTTTTTGTGCGAGCCTAATGGCCTATTTATACTCCTGCGTAGGGTCTACGTGCGTACCTAGGCCGTACGCTACGCACGTAGCCATGCATTTATAATTGTGCGTAGGTGTGTCCGTCATTCTGCAATTAGCAGTAGCGCTACAGCGTCCACTGTGTCGACCTTTGCCGGCCGAGCATGCTAACTTCCGGTTTAGCCCTCCGCTAACGTAAATGGGGGTAAAATTGTATACGTGCGGCTAGTGTATCGTTTTCCAATGTTATTGACCGAATGGATCACATTCTGATAGCGAAACGAGTCATTTCGCTTGGGTTGCGACGGTCAAATATATTGATTCACTGTGTTACAGCCGCCGTTTTGCCCCCTAGTAAATGTTACTTCAAAGCGCGGGGTATTGCGAGGCTACCAATCGCAGCGCTTACGGTCCGCGTCGACTCGACGTGTTGTTACATTTCTGAGGAGGAGCACGTCAGGCGACGGTGTAGGTGACGGCGTAGGCTAGGGGGCTATACAGAGGCTACGCCTTGACGCTGAAGTATAAACTGCACTTAAGCTTAAGTCGCTTAAGTCTCTCTCTCTCTCTCTCTCTCCCCCTCTCTCCCCCCAGCTGCATGCACATCACGGTTCCTCGCACGTCTATTTCAAGTAGTCGGCCATTTCAATTAAATATTATTTGTGTGGCCCATCAACGTTGATAAATTATCCAAAAGTCCCACGAGGTGCGGACAACTCGGCACAACACCGGTGAAGCCGGAGCTCCGTCTCTCCTGCCACTACACACTCACACGCTACGCCCACACATGACATGACGACCCAGTGTTAGGGTTACAATTCTGGATTTATTCACGCACTTTAAAAACATGTATTGAACATTTTTTTTCCTTTTTACATTTTTATTTACAGCATTAAACGTTGAAATGTATACTGCAGTAGGCTGTATATTAACTTATTGGGAGAAAACTGATAGTTGAATTTGCTCAGATTATTAGGGCCCGAGCACGACCGTGCGAGGTCCCTATTGAATTTGCTCAGATTATTAGGGCCCGAGCACGACCGTGCGAGGTCCCTATTGAATTTGCTCAGATTATTAGGGCCCGAGCACGACCGTGCGAGGTCCCTATTGAATTTGCTCAGATTATTAGGGCCCGAGCACGACCGTGCGAGGTCCCTATTGAATTTGCTCGGATTTTTTTTTTTTTTTTTTTTTTTGCAAAGTAGGCTCAACTGACATGGCCTAAACATACATCGAAAACTCACCAAAATTTGCAAACATGTCAGAACCGGTGAAAAATTTCGTATTTTATCGGTTTCGCGCATGGGCGTGGCAAAATGACTCGCTAGCGCCACCTTGAAAATTGGAAAAAATTAGCCCCTCGTTCACGTTCAACCTACATGCACGATATTTTCTGGGGACATGTATCATATCAAGACGCACAAAAAAGCCTCAAGAACCCATAGCCTAAAGTCAACAGGAAGTCGGCCATTTTGAATTTTACGTCAAATTTTGGATGATTTACACACTTCATACTTTAACCAACTCCTCCTAGGGATTTAGTCCAACCGACCTCAAATTTCTGCTGTGCCTTCTAAAGGCACTGAAGATGAAAAGTTGTGCTATCTGTGAGTTTTCGTCAATGGGCGTGTCCGTGGCGTGGCGTCAAAGATCAACTCTTCGCCATGACACAGGAAGTTGTTGTAACTTCAGTGTACATGCTCACATCTGCACAAAAATGTACGTGCTTGATAACTCTCACACCCCGAACACATCTACAAGCCAATATTCATTTATATTCACAGCGCCAAGTGCTATGTAGCGCCACAAAGGGGACACAAGAAGTGACGTATAACACCTTCATTCAGCGTCTCGAAGCGCGTAGCAAATTCACAGCCGCACCGGCAGAGCTCCAGAATATGCAACGTGGCCGTCTCACGCGCGGACGCGCTACAAGTGCGAGGGCCCGCCCAACGCTGCTTGCAGCTTTAATGTTTTTAACTGAATCCTGGTTCCAAACTAATGAGCCAGCTGGCTGAACTGTGTCCTCCTCAGTATGATTGATCCAGCAGACCCAGGGTCAGTAGTCATGGTGGTGGCCTAGTGAGTGTGCACAGGAAGAACTTGTCATCTCCTTACTTTGAAACTTGGAGGCCTGCAACCAACCATACTTGTTAGAATTTATCGCTTCCCAAACTTGGCTGGAGGATTTAATCTACTTTATTCTCTGGTTTTAATATTACCCAATGTTCATGCAACTGACTTTGTAAGTATAAGGTGTAAATTTAAGTTTCTGCAGCTAGTAAATGGGTCGGTAAAGAAATCGTAGTAGTAAATAAACACTCTGGGCTGAATAAATATTTATTCTTGTGTGATGAAACTTTCTTAATATTCGGAGTATAAATGAAAACTAGTGTTCTGTTTACACATTTTCATGGTGGGAAAGAAATTTAAGACTGGAATTAAATCCTGCACCGAGACCTGTCTGCACCGGGACCTGCCTGCACCGAGACCTGCCTGCACCGGGACCTGCCTGCACCGGGACCTGCCTGCACCGGGACCTGTCTGCACCGGGACCTGCCTGCTGCTCCGGGTGCGCCGCCCTCTGCTAGCCGTTAGCACGGTTAGCAGTTTACAGGTGAGTGTTTACCTGAACCAGCTGCACGCGGCCCGGGCTGAAGATAATCCTCAATTCTGCGCCTGCGCGGTTCATCTTCGCTCTCTCTGATCAGACGGGTTTCTGATCGGTGTCACTGATCGATATCGATCACTCGGCGCCGCTCTGCTTCTCTGGTGCGCACTTTGTTCTCGAGCTCTTCCGCTTCCGCTTTTACGCGGATCAGCTGTTTGCCGTAAAGCAGCTGTCGCGGTGATGCTAGCTGGTTAGCATGCAGGCTACCAGACGTGAGAAGACACGAGGAATAATGTGAAATGAAACGGAAGCTGAAAAGTCTTCTTGTGAAACAGGTTCCGTTTGGAGTCCCCGTGATGCGGGTCAGACTGACCTGAGACCTGATGTAGCAGGGACACCTGATCTGTCACAACACCGGTGTTTGAGCTGAAGTCGCTGAAAACAGGAAATAAAGACACAAACATGAACTCACCTCCGAACCTCCGACCTCAAGTCCAGGCATCTGATTCGGAGCCAGTCCAGAGAGCAGCAGAGACCAGCAGAGACCAGTAAAGCCTCTGCGCGCAGCAGGACCGTTCAAACAGCCCGTCTCCTCCTCCTCCTCCTCCTCCTCCTCCTCCGTGTTCTTCTTCTCCTCCTTGTAGCGGCAGACTGGCGCGGTGCTGCCCTCCGCTGTTCCTCTTGTGCTTTTATCTACAGACACTTTGAGTTCTAAACCCAGCTCTCCTGCTCTGCTGCCAGACCCCCTGTACTTCACAATTCTTAAAGTGTTGTAAAAGTTTCTTGGAACTTAAGTAATAAAAGAACCAGGAAGTAAAGACGTGATACAGGAAGCTGAATTAAACCATTTCAAGCAGTTTTCTACTGGTGATGTGGCTTTACTGACATTTCTCTGTTTCAGCGAATAAAAGGTGGAAAATGATCTTTTGGTCCTGGACAGCTCGTCAGCACCTCTCAGGTTCACATGACCGCTGTTCCTCATTCGCCAGTCACATCTTTGTCGTTTGACGCGGAGCTGCGCAGCACGGACTGCACGTGATGCATGCTGGGTTTTTTATTACTGATGTGTAGTTCGTGACAGAAACAAAACATGCAAAAGACACAGATAATTCAATTCAATTCACAAACAACAGTTATCTCACAGCGCTTTTCATAAAAGAGCAGGTCTAGACCGTACTCTGTGATGTTATTTACAGAAGCCCAACAGTTCCCACCAAGAGCAGCACTAGGAGACAGAGGCAAGGAAAAACTTCCTTTAAGAGGCAGAAACCTCGAGCAGAACCATGGCTCAGGGTGGGCGGCCATCTGCCTCGACCGGTTGGGGTGAGAGAGAGAGAGAGAGAGAGAGAGATGTAAGGAGAGAGAGAGAGAGATGTAAGGAGAGAGAGAGAGAGAGAGAGAGAGAAAAAGAGAGGGGTGTAAGGAGAGAGAGAGGGGAGGGAGGCAGCCTACACAATATCCACACAGAGGTACAGACAGTAAAGGTAATGTTGCTATAGACTAAATGAAAAATGGTACAGATATTTATAGTAGTGTTAATGATAACAATCATAATGTTAATGATTATAATAACAATAATAACAATAAGACTAGCAACAGTAGTCGTTGCAGCAGAGGGTGTCGAGCAGGAACACGGGGGCAGCAGGTGACCCGCAACCACAGATCCAGACTCCACAGCTCCAGAGCCAGAAAACCTGCAGGAAGTGATAGGAGGAGAGAGGAGAGACGAGAAAGCACAAGACTACCAGAAAGGGGAGAAGTTGTGTTAGTAACATGCAATAATGGGATGAGGTTGCATACAGAGGGAGAGAAAGTAGAGGAGAGAGGAGCTCAGTGCATCATGGGAAATCCCCCGGCAGTCTAGGCCTATAGCAGCATAACTAAGGGATGGTTCAGGACTCACCTGAGCCAGCCCTAACTATAAGCTTTATCAAAGAGGAAAGTCTTAAGCCTACTCTTAAATGTGGAGATGGTGTCTGCCTCCTGAACCCAAACTGGAACCTGGTTCCACAGGAGAGGAGCTTGATAGCTGAACGCTCTGGCTCCTAGTCTACTTTTGGAGACTCTAGGAACCACAAGTAACCCTGCATTCTGGGGCGCAGTGCTCTGGTGGGGTAGTAAGGTACTATGAGCTCTTTAAGATAAGATGGTGCCTGACCATTAAGAGCTTTGTAGGTAAGAAGAATGATTTTAAATTCTATTCTGGATTTTACTGGAAGCCAATGCAAAGAAGCTAAAACAGGAGAAATGTGATCTCTTTTCCTGGTTCCTGTCAGAACACGTGCTGCAGCATTCTGGATCAGCTGAAGAGTCTTAATGGACTTTTTCGAGCAGCCTGATAATAAGGAATTGCAGTAATCCAGCCTAGAAGTAACAAATGCATGGACTAGTTTTTCTGCATCATTTTTAGACAGGATGTTCCTGATTTTCGCAATATTACGTAGGTGAAAAAAGGCGGTCCTTGAAATTTGCTTAATGTGAGACTTAAACGACATGTCCTGATCAAAGATAACTCCAAGATTCCTCACAGTGGTGCTGGAGGCCAGGTCGATGCCATCAAGGGAAACTATATTTTAGATAATGCGTCACGGAGGTGCTTGGGCCCCAGAACAATAACTTCAGTTTTATCTGAGTTTAACATTAGAAAATTACAGGTCATCCAGGTTTTAACATCCTGAAGGCACATTTGAAGTTTAGCTAACTGATGAGTTTCATCTGGCTTGATCGACAGATATAACTGAGTATCATCTGCATAACAATGAAAGCTTATGGAATGTTTCCTGATAATATTGCCTAAAGGAAGCATATATAAAGTGAAGAGGATTGGTCCAAGGACAAATCCTTGAGGAACCCATGAGTAACTTTGGCGTGCATGGAGGACTCATCGTTAACATGTACAAACTGAAATCGATCTGATAAATAGGACTTAAACCAGCTTAGAGCGTTCCTTTAATGCCAATGAAATATTCCAGTCTCTGCAATAGGATCTGATGGTCAATGGTATCAAATGCAGCACTAAGATCTAATAAAACCAGTACAGAGACAAGTCCTTTGTCTGATGCAATAAGGAGGTCATTAGTAATTTTCACCAGTGCTGTCTCTGTGCTATGATGAGCTCTAAATCCTGACTGAAAATCCTCAAATAAACTATTGCTCTGTAGAAAGTCACACAGCTGTTTAGCAACTGCTTTCTCCAGAACCTTAGAGAGAAATGGAAGGTTAGATATAGGTCTATAGTTGGCTCAAGTTTGGGCTTTTTCAGAAGAGGTTTAATTACAGCTACTTTAAAGTACTGTGGTACATAGCCTGTTGATAAAGATAGATTGATCATATCTAGTATAGAGGTGCTGACTAAGGGTAAAACATCTTTAAGCAGCCTAGTCGGGATGGGTCTAAGAGGCAGGTTGATGGTTTAGATGAAGAAATTATTGAAGTTAGTTGGTAAAGATTGAGGGAAGCAAAACAGTCTAAACATGTATCTGGTTCTACAGCTGTTTCTAAGGTTCCTGAGTTAAGAGATAAGTCGGTGCCAGTTGAGGGCAGGTCTTGGTGAATTTTGTTCTAATAGCTAGAATTTTATCATTAAAGAAGCTCATGAAGTCGTAACTACTGAGAGCTATGGGAATACTTGGCTCAATAGAGCTGTGACTCTCTGTCAGCCTGGCTACAGTGCTGAAAAGAAACCTGGGGTTGTTCCTATTTTCCTCTATTAATGACGAGTAGTACGCTGCTCTGGCATTACGGAGGGCCTTCCTATAAGTTTTAAGACTATCTTGCCAAATTAAACGAGAATTTTCCAGTTTGGTGGAACGCCAATTCCTCTCAAGTTTCTGCGATATTTGCTTGAATTTGTGAGTTTCAGTATTATACCATGGAGCTAACCGTCTTTGTTTTAGTATTTTCTTTTTTAGAGGGGCTACAGAGTCCAGTGTCATTCGCAGCGAGCCTGCAGCACTATCAACAAGATGATCGATTTGGGAGGGACTGAAATTAGCATAGGAGTCCTCCGTTACTTTGTGACTAGATAATGTATTTAGAGCTGATGGAATCACATCCTTAAATTTAGCTACAGCACTATCAGACAGACATCTTGTGTAGAAATTTTTGCCCAATGGCGTGTAGTTCAACAATACAAACTCAAAAGTTATCAAACAGTGGTCGGACAAAGAGGGATTCTGTGGGAACACCACTAAATGTTCAATTTCAATACCATACACCAAAACAAGGTCGAGGGTGTGGTTAAAACAGTGAGTCGGTTCATGAACACTCTGAGAGAAGCCGATGGAATCTAACAGAGAGATAAACGCAGTACTGAAGCTGTCATTCTCAACATCCACATGAATATTAAAATCCCCTACAATAATAACTTTGTCCGTTTTAAGGACTAAAGTTGACAAAAACTCTGCAAATTCAGATAAGAATTCAGAATACGGGCCAGGTGCTCGGTACACTATAACGAAGAGAATTGGTTGCAGTGATTTCCAACTTGGGTGCGAAAGACTAAGAACAAGGCTTTCAAATGAGTTATAGTTTGGTTTAGGTTTAGAGCTGATTAGTAGGCTAGAGTCGAAGATAGCTGCAACTCCACCTCCTCGGCCTGTGCCTCGAGGAATGTGAGTATTAATATGACTGGGAGGTGTGGATTCATTTAGGCTAACATATTCTCCATCACCCAGCCAGGTTTCAGTAAGACCAAATAAATCAATATCATAATCTGATATTAGTTCATTTACTAGTACACCTTTAGAAGAGAGAGATCTGATGTTTAAGAGTCCACATTTAACTCTCCTATTCGTTTGCACTATTGCTCTTGTGGTTTTAATTTTTATGAGGTTTTTATGCACAGCTCCTCTTCTGTTTACCTTTTTAAATAATTTCGATGGTCGGGGGCAGACACCGTCACTATAGGATTTTCACTAAGTAACTCCTGAAATGGAGGAGCAGAGAAGTGTGTTAGACTGCGACTCTGCGTAGGGTTTTGGGTGGGTAACTGCTGAAAAAGAAGGGCAGAGAAGTGTATTAGACTGCGACTCTGCCTCCTGGTCTCAACTCTGGGTTGTCATGGATTTGGTCTACTAATAAACTTGGCCAGATTTCTAGAAATGAGAGCTGCTCCTTCCCAAGTGGGATGGATGCCGTCTCTCCGGATCAGACCAGGTCTTCCCCAGAAGGTCTGCCAATGATCTACAAAGCCCACATCGTTTGCTGGACACCACCTCCACAACCAGCGGTGGAATGACGACATGCGGCTATACATGTCATCACTGGTCAGATTTGGCAGGGGTCCAGAGAAAACTACGGTGTCCGACATTGTTTTTGCATATGTACACACCGACTCAACATTAATCTTAGTGACCTCCGATTGGCGTAACCGGGAGTCATTACCGCCGACGTGAATAACAATCTTACTGTATTTACGTTTATCCTTAGCCAGCAGTTTCAAATAAGACTCAATGTCGCCCGCTCTGGCCCCAGGGATGCACTTAACTATGGCCGCTGGCTTCGCTAACTTCACGTTTCTCAAAATGAAGCTGCCAATGATCAGAGTTGGTTTCTCAGCGGGTGTGTCGCTGAGTGGGGAAAATCTGTTAGAAACGTGAACAGGTTGATGATGCCCCGTGGACTTTGAGTGCTTACGACTATTCCTCCTTCGGACAGTCACCCAGCCCCCCTCCTTCCTGGCTGCACAGGGGATGCCGGGGGACGGCTACCAGAGGCTAACTCAGGCCGTTCCGCACCGACTACCGGGGACTGGCTAGCTAAAGTAGCTAAAGACTGATCTACCAAGGTGCGGAGCCGGACTTCTACATCACTGAGCCTCGCCTCCATGTCTATAAATAAACTACACTTATTACATGTACCATTACCGCTAAAGGAGGCAGAGGAGTAACTGAACATCTGACACACCGAGCAGGAGAAAGTAGGAGAGAGAGAGGGAGAAGGAGAAGCCAATGAACCGTCCGCGGATTCTGGATGATGGGAAATCCTTTGGGGCTCTTTAGTTTCTACTCCATTAATCATCAACTTATTTATTGTAGCAAATTCAGCATTTCTTTTTTCTCACCTTGTTCGATCCATTTACATCTGGATCTAATGAAGTCTCCAGTTTTTTGTAATAAATTAATACTAGTTGTAGTAATAGTACTTCTTCACGGGTGAAGTCTAAAATTGCCTTGATAATTTGAGTTTCCTCATCTCTCTTTTTTGCGCTATAGTTTGCTTCTCTTCATAGCAGCTGTTCGGATTTCAAATTTCAGTAATTCCCTGAAGTATCCGTAGGTACCTGTGGCACAAAATCTGTCAATCATGTCATTTATTTCAATTTTCAAGTTCTTAGCGTTTAGTAACGATCTGTTAAGTTTCCAATAACCTGCAGGTCAAGTTGAATAAAAATCCTTTTACGATCAGTTAAAATAGCTGGTTAAAATTAAGTTAGACAGATCAGCCAAAACTCAATCCGTGACTGTAAGGAGTAGTTTTTATTACACCATGTGATTGAGCTCATCTTCCATGTTAGTACTTTCTGGAAGCCTTGACCCGACGATCTTTTCATCGAGCACAGTTTTAAAATCCCCTCCCCAGATTACTTTAGCTGCGGGATATTTTGAGTAAAGGTTGCAAATTTTGGATTCAATATCTTGAAACTATGCAAAGTTTACTGTCGGTGGCATAAATATTAACCAAGATAAACTGATTGTCATTCATATTTACGACCAGAATAATCCATCTCCCTTACCTGCAGTACCTTTAACTTGATCTTTTAAAACAGGAACAGCGACACCTGCTGATCCATTACTGCTGTTGGAAAACCAAATCTCGCTGCCCCGTTGACTTTTCCAGAAAGATTCATCTGCTGAACATGCGGAGTTTCCTGGACAAAATAAAAATCAGCATCTTTACCTCCAGTGTCTTTTACAGAATAGACTGAAAGAGACATTAGAACAATAGAAACAGAAATAAATGTCCAAATACAGGTTGGATAAACTTGACCTTACCTCTTAATAGGCCATAGGAACCTTGCTAAAGTACTTATTTGCATATAACTCTAATAATTACACAGCTTATTTAGATTTGTCAGCCGTTGCTGCAACTGTGATGGATAAGTAGTTAACAGCCAACAGTCTCACTCTTAACACAGAACGTTATAGTGTGTAAACCTCTTTACCATCTGCGTATGCTCTGGCCCCTCTGAAGTTTGCCGGCTTCCTCTCCTTCTCCACCACCGGCTGCAGGAGATTCCTCGCTGCTCTGATCCTCCTTGAAGTAGAATCGATGATTTTGAAGAAAGTTGTTCTTCCTGGCATGTTTCCATGCTTCCATGTCAGATCCCTCGCTGATCTTGATCGGCCGTGGTTTCATGTTGTAAATGTGTGCGCCATCCACCGCTGCGACCTCATCTTTCTCCGCTCCAGGAATCACAATGATTGTTGCTTTAACATTCTCTATTTGACTTTCAGCGACCCCAAGTAAGCGTAGACACCTAGGTCAACTGTATCCTTCTTGCTGGTTAATTCTTTCTTCCAGACCCGCCATCTTTTGTTTTAATTAACATGTTGCTTTCGTGGATTGAGTTAAGAGCCTCAGACGTACTCACAGTCTCTGCAGTTTTTCTTCTCAAGCTGGTCTGCTCTTTCACTCTTGCAGGGAGGATGTTAATAATGTTTTCTTGCATTTGAATTAATGTCAGTTTTTGGCGGTAACGTTAGTTGGTGGTGGTGCATTTCTCAATTTTTTGGCAGCCTGAGTCTTAGCTGGTGTGTTTGGGGTTGATACACTCTCTCCTCTAGTTTTCCCTTTGCAGGCATACCAATGAGTGGCACTAATTCTTCTCTTTTCTTTTATAAAATCAACATCCATGCCTTCTGCTATGGTGAGTGATTCTTGGGTGGACATCTTCAGAATCCGAATCGGGTTTATTGCCAGGTACATTTTCACATAGGAGGAATTACCTTGGTATGAATCGGTGCTTACAGGACACATACTGCTGCTGCCCTGTTCACACCTGAGGTGACATCACCAATGTTGTCATGGTGACCAGGTGAGGGACCCTTTCACCTGGAGGGTTAAACACAAGCTCAGTGTGGTCGAGCTGAGACTCACACACATGCAAACTGTAATGCTGGGGGGGTCGGGGGGCAAGCTGCAGCCTTGTCTGTCAATCACCTCCTAAAATAGAAACTTGCAGTCTGATACCGACTCGCTCTCTCTCTCTCTCTGTTTATCTCTATGTCTCTCTCTCTCTCTGAGCCTGCAGTCTGTCACCAACACTCTCTCTCTTTCTCTTGCAGGACAGTTGGTGTCGATCACCCCGACATTGAGCTGGTGTTGAACCCAGTTTAAACTTAAACAAACAGGATCACACTCAGACCCCTCTGGGACCAGACATTCCTCTGAACTGGCTCTGACGGAGCAGACAACCTGAATAGTTACTGTCAATGGAAACTATGAAAAATTCTTTAAAAGTTGGATTTTAAACACTGAAACAACCAGAGATATCTAATCCTCCAACAGGACCAGAAACTACACTGAACCAGGTCCGATACTCCGACCACCAAACTCAGCTTTAACCAGGAACCAGAACCAGGATTAGTCTTTTCTTTACCAGGACCAGGATCTTTATAAAAGGTCTATAGTAGTCTGAATGTGACTCTTTGACCAGAACTGATCTGATTCTGGTCTTAGTCCTGATCCATCTTGAGAGGTAAGAAGAGGCTTAAAATTCTCTGAACTTTTATTGATTTAATTACTTGTTGATCATTTACTGATTTTCTCAAAAAACATAATTTGTGGACAAATGTTTTCACATTTATTCCAAACTTTCATTTCAGAACTTTTTATGAATTTTCTGTCGAGTCACGGCTGTGAAATTGAAACATTTTTAAAATATAAGAAACTTTCCAAACTGTCCAAACTTGTTTTGAGTTTTTAATGAAACGCTGTTAGGTCAGAGCAGTGAAATCAGCTGTTTCTTTTATGCTTCACCATGATTGGTTCATTCACAGCTGTGTGGACAGTAAGATCCAATCATATTAATGCAGGGGACATGTTAACACCTCGACCTGTATTTTTTATTATTACTTTAAAATTTGAATGTTGTTTGAGAAGAGATGATGACAGAATGATTTGCTATAAATCTTGAGTTCATTGACGAGTTCATCATGTGGAGGTGGTTCAAAGCGAGAGAAATCATGTGTTCTTTCCATTTCCTGTGTGTCTCCTAGCTTCAGGTTGCTGACTTAAGTAAATACAAGCAAAGGTCTCATCCCTGATTGGTTCACACAGTCTGCTTTACATTTCTCAAAGGTCATGTGACCTGACATCATCACATCCATCACAGATGGAGCTGAAAAACTCTGCATTTCATTTATTGATCACTGTCAGGAAGATCATTTATACTAAAATTACAAAACATGCTTCTGAAATAAACCGCCCACACTAGTTTTAAGTTACCATTATTTTCATCCTCACAAAAAAACTGCTGGTTTTTACATTGTTGGTCTGGATTTTGATTCATCAATAAATAAAATATAACTTTTGTGTAACATCACAAGCTAGCATGGCTTCCAAAATTAAAGTTTTGAAAGGCACAGTATATCTTTACTATTTTTTTTTATTTTATCTTTTAATTTAACCTTTATTTAACCAGATGATATCATTGAGATTTAAAACCTCTTTTGGCCAAAATAGCAGCATATTGACAGAGCAAAGTTACAAATACAAACACCAAGCACACGTACACGCACAACGACAAAGGACATTAAACAAGACTCTTAGAATACATAAACAAACAACATTAGACTACTTAAAAGTACAATTTGTAGGATTTAGTTATTTTAAAAGCAGTGACAACAATTTATAGCATCTACTTCCAAGTCTTTCATGCAGTGTTTTAATTCACCAAAGAAATCAGATTTCTCAACTGCAAATCAGTCTGCAGTGTGTTCCAGGTGGACGGGGCTGCATAACTAAAGGCCTTCTTACTGAGTTCTGTACGGACCGTAGGTACAGATAACAAATACAAGTTACCAGAGCGCAAATTATAGGAGCTGATATTGCGAGACATATAAGTGCAAAGATAAGAGGGGAGCAACATAGACTTGTAAATAAAAGTGAGCCAATGTATGTGCCTCCTCGCTGATAACGAGGGCCAGTCTGTCATTTTGTAGAAGGTACAAGGGTGTGTTGATGCTTTACATCCAGCAACAAACCTCAAAGCACAATGGTAGGCAGTTTCCAATAAAGATAAACATCGGCCAGGCACATTTCTATAGAGCAGGTCACCGTATTCGAGTGCAGTGAAGAAAGGTTGCAGCAACCAATCTCCTCCTGGTTTTCTAAGAAAAACAGGCATGTTTCTAAAATAAAAATACTATTTTTAGTTTGAGCTTTTGTACTAGTTTATCAATGTGCAATTTAAAAGAGAGCTGATCATCAATTAATGTACCCAAATATTTGATTGGACTTATTCGATCTGCTCACCATGTATGTTAAAAATATTTGGAAGACTTGAAAAAAGTATAATCAAAACTAGATTAAGCTGATACAGTTGTACCTGAACAAGGTTAAAAGCAGATTGTAAATAAGAAAAAGCTTGATGAAAAGTAGCAACCTTACAGTAAATAACGTATCATCAGCATAAAAATGGAAATGACCCTTTGGGATGTCTTGACCCAAGTTAATAATATAAATAGTAAATAAAATTGGACCCAAGACAGATCCTTTACATCACTAAGTACATTCAGTGTCGCTGATTTGAGGTTGTAATCAAAATAAACACACTGAGTTCTGTCTGCCAAATAGTTGGTAACCAGTCGACAGTATGGTCAGAAAAACCTACATTGCATAGATATCCAACGAAGGTTGAGGTCAAGGACAACTGGACTTGGTAGAAGATACTAGAAGACGTTTCATCCCTCATCCAAGAGACTTCTTCCTTTCTGAACTGAATCTACATCCAGTCACGAACCACAAAGAATCTACTACCAAGTCCAGCTGCCCTTGACCTCAACCTTCGTTGGATAACTATGACCTGGATGACTGAGAACCTTCACAGACTATATTGCATTGCTTTTCCAGTAAAATCAAAGGAAACCAAATAGTCCTTTAACTGATCGCCAACCAATGTTTGTAAAACTTTAGCTAAAACTGGTAACCTGGAAATCGGTCTATAATTATCCAAAAGCGAGGACTCACCTGCCTTTAAGAGGGAGTACATAGGCCAATTTCCAAATTTAGGTATAGGTATTTGTTTTACTAATATCTGTGTCCTTGGAGAAATCTGTGTTTCAGAGTTATAGTATTCATACAGGTTATGATGAGTAGGAAATTATTATTATGCTAAGCTAGCCAACATTTTTTTATAATAATAATATTCTTTATTTATAGAGCACTTTTCAAAAAACTAACAAGGTGTTACAAAGTGCTTTAACAAGTGCAGACAATAAAACAAAGATAAAAAGAAATACACGATAAAAGCAAGAAGACACTCAAGAGAATAAAATACACATTAAAAGTAAAGACAAAATGTATATAAAATGATATAAAATCAGGAAAGGCTCTCCTCTAAAAGTATGTTTTAAGAAGAGACTTAAAAGAGTTCAATGACTCAGCCGCCCTGATTTCCTAAGGCAGCCTCGGGGCCCCGACTGCAAACTGTCCCCTTTAGTTTTCAGTGGAGACTCTAGAACAGACAACAGACCTCTGCCCGAGGATCCGATCCAATCCAATCCAATCCACTTTATTTATATAGCACATTTAAAAAACAACAATGTTACCAAAGTGCTTTACAACAGTATAATACAAAACACAGCATAAAAGTATACAAACATGACATCAACAAAACTATCAACAATAAGGACCACAACCAGTTTCCATGGTACAAATGTGTTTTTAGGTGAAATTTAAAAGTAAGAAGGGTGCCAGCTTAATATGCGGAGGTAAATCATTCCACAATTTGGTGCAATAGCTGAAAAGGAACAATCACCCCTAGTTTTCATCCTAGTTATTGGCACATTTAGCCGCATATGATCCGCAGACCTCAGTAACCTTGACGGGGTGTAAATGTGCAAAAGCTCAGTGATTTACTGAGGTGCTAGTCCATTTAATGATTTAAAAACAAGCATCAAAATATTAAACTGTATTCTAAAATGTATAGGAAGCCAGTGAAGCGATTCCAAAATGGGAGTAATGTGTTCATGTTTCTGAGTTCCTGTTAATAAATGAGCGGCAGCATTTTGGACTAGCTGTAGGCGTGAAAGAGAAGTTTGGTTCAGGTCTATATAAAGTGCATTACAATAGTCCAATCTTGTTGAAATAAAAGCATGAATCACATTCTCAAGAAGATCAAAAGTTAGACATCAAAAGTTTTGCTAAAACTCTCAGATGGTAAAAGCTGGATTTTACCACACTATTTATCTGCTTATCAAGTTTAAAATCATCAATAAATTTTTATACCTAAGTTTGTAACTACTGGTTTTACACTTTACAGGGCCCGAGGTTAGCAAGAATGGAATCACATCCCTGACTGGGTCCGAATATAATAACCTCACTTTGTTCTTCGTTTAAATTTAAGAAGTTATATGACCAATATGATCCAAGCGTTAATGTCCTTAAGACATTTAAATAGTGGAATCAAAGAACTACTTGCATTTTTGCACAGGGGTAAGTAGATTTGCGAGTCAAGGTCTATGCTGGTCTGTACGGGACTAAAAGGTCAAAGACAGAACAGGGCGAGAGCTAATGAAGAGCTTTAAAAGTGATCAATGAATTTAAAGTCTATTCTAAAACATACTAGGAACCTGTGTGGTGAAGCTAAAACATGGGTGATGTGATCAAATTTCTTTGTTCTGGTTAAAAGCCTGGCAGCTGAGTTCTGGACAGTCTGGAGTCCATCAATAGATTTTTGGGGCAAACTAGTAAAACACCTGTTGCAATAATTGCGTGATGAGATGAAGACGTGTAAAATGGTCTCAGTGTCCTTAAAAGTTAACATTGATGGTATTGTTGATATATTTCTAAGCTGGTAAAAACATGATTGCCCAAGCTCGAAACTTAGATTATTATCGAACCAGACACCAAGATTCAACAGGCCTGATATGATCCACCAGGGAACCAGCAGATGGCTTTGCTGGGACCCAAAGACCAGGATCTCTATTCTGAGTTCAGCAGGAGGAAATTATTTGACATCTAATTTTTGACATCACAGAGGCAGTCGGAAAGTGAACTTAGCATTCCAGGGTCTGGATCTGATGGGCAAGTACATCAGTGTGTCATCAGCGTAAATATGAAAAAGAAACACCATGTTTCTCGATAATGTGTCCATGAAGAAGCAAATACGGATAAGAATAATAAAATAAGGAATAAGGAAAATAAAATGGGTCCTAAGACAGATCCCTGAGGCACTCCATATTTAACTGCACAAAATGAAAGACATATAAATATGGAATAAACAATGCAAGTTATATAAGAATAATAAAAGAATAGAGGAAAATAATACAACTATTTGCAGAGAAAGAACAACATGGCAGATATTTACATGTGCATTACTCTGGGTTTGTGTTGTGCAGACGTGCTGCAATGGAAGATGATATTGTGTACATAAATATATAAATTGACAGCAATTTTTAACAAATATGTGCAATGTTCCAGGTTTGTGCTGATATGAAATGAAATAATATTCACATGTGCAGAGACACATGTATTATTTGAAAGGGGGGAGTGTCAGTTGGGGTCCCAGGTCGATGAGGCTGCAGACGAGAAGAAGCTGTTTTTGTGGCGAGAGGTTTGGGTCCTGATGGACCGCAGCCTCCTGCCAGAGGGGAGAGTCTGAAACAGTTTGTGTCCGGGGTGGGAGGAGTCAGCTGCAATCTTTCCTGCTCGCCTCAGAGTCCTGGAGGGGTTCAGGTCCTGGAGGCGTACAGGTCCAGAAGAGAAGGAAGATTGCTGCCAATCACCTTCTCTGCAGAGCAAATAATGCGCTGCAGCCTGCCCTTGTCCCTGGCGGTGGTAGCAGCGTACCAGATGGTGATGGAGGAGGTGAGGATGGACTCAATGATGGCGGTGTAGAAGTGCACCATCATTGTCTTTGGCAGGCTGAACTTCTTCAGCTGCCGCAGGAAGTTCATCCTCTGCTGGGCCTTCTTGGTGAGGGAGGTGATGTTCAGCTCCCACCTGAGATGATGGTGCCCAGGAAGCAGAGAGAGTCCACAGTGGTGACTGGGGAGTCACACAGGATGATGGGGGAGGGTGGGGCTGGGCTCTTCCTGAAGTCCATGACCATCTCCACGGTCTTCTGAGCGTTGAGCTCCACACTGTTCTGGCTGCACCAGGTCACCAGATGGTCGATCTCCCACCTGTAGGTGGACTCATCCCCACCTAAGATGAGCCCAATGAGGGTGGTGTCATCTGCAAACTTCAGGAGCTTGACGGTCTGGTGACTGGAGGTGCAGCCCCCCCGCGACCCTGTACACAGCATAAGCGGTTGACGATGGATGGATGGATGATTCGTTGCAGGCCAGTTTAAAAGTGTATAAGATGTTAAGAGTGTATTTTGTACTGGGTGCTGGAGTTGGTGAATTTGTCTTAATCCTTACTAGATTACTATGAATTATGTGTATGATGTGCACGTTCCGGATCACAGATCCATGCGTGATGATTACAGGAATATCAAAAGTCTTTGGAGCAGTGCTGGGAGCAGACGGCTTTACATGCCAGCAGGTGGAGACAGTTGTCAGTGGCAGTGAGGCAGAGATCTGTTCAGTGACCGGTGGTGTGTCCAGGTGTGCTGCATGAATGATTCGTCATTCACATAAGTCATGTGGGGAGGACCGCACCGCATGCTGTATGTGAGCAGCTAACATTTGTTTGGGTGAAGTCCGTCTCACTTTAAAAGAGACACTCCAGAAGAGATTGAAGTTATCGATGAAATATACCGTGAGCCCTGCAGGCGGACTGGAGCCAGATGTGGAGGCCAAGGAGTCGACTGTACCGGCCAGCACCGCGACCAAGAGTGGGAATGGGACCAGAGATAAAAACTTCCCACACTGCTTTAAAATCCGATTTTGTCAGCTCAGACTGCTGAAGAGCTGTTTCATTTGTTCCCACGTGGACTATCACTCTTGTGATGGAGGACTGGGGCGATGGCATCAGGTCCTGGAGTTTTTTTAAATGTCAGCTGTGGTGGCACCGGGGAAGCAGTGAGTGGTAGCGTTAGTGCTGAGAGAGACAATCCGTTTGGCCTGTACTGAGGCCACATCCATAAAGCCGGTCAGGGATTTTTTCTCTTTAAGTTCCTCCAAAAAGCTAAAGGAAGGGTGGATAAGGAGGGAGAGAGGTGTTCTTTCCACAGCTAGAAGTATTTCCATTGTTGTGTCACCGTCTAAGGTACAGAGTACAGATCCGTTTTTTAAGGAGTAATAAGTAAAAAGTACCTTGCCCAACACTGATAGCGAGAGACTTCCGACCTGTTGTTTATTTGATCCTCAGTCTGGTCTGTGACTCTGCAGGACTGTTGGAGACTCAGTAATCTGAATGAACTTCCTGTTGACAGATGTCTTCACTCTGCTTACTGCACCTGAGTTTTTGAAACATTTTCCACTGTAGACTAGGATCCAGTTTCAGACTTCAGTATGTCAACAAGATCATAGTGACCCTATCACTCTTTGGGAATTGATCACGTTATTTGAAGGTTTGTAACAGTCTGCTCACAGGCCTGTTCTTTCCGTGGACTAAGTAACTGATACAGGTCCACTACACTGCAGCTGTAAGTCGCTTTGGATAAAAGCGTCATCTAAATGAATAAATGTAATTCACAACAGAAGTGATCTCATTGCACACATGCATTAATGGGATGAGGTAGCATACAAATGGAGAGAAAGAGGATGAGCTCAGTGCATCACGGGAAGTCCCCGGCAGTCTAGGCCTATAGCAGCATAACTATTGGCGCTTTTCCATTGCTGTTACAAGCTCAACTCGCCTCGCTTTTGGCCCGCCGTCCTCCGTTTCCCATTGCAGATAGTACCCTCTCAATGTAGCTGGTCGTCCTAGCAACGCCTCACGAAACTGCCACGACATAATGTTCAACGCTACACACACACCAGATGTCTCTTAATTTTGTGGGATCAGAGACTGCCATCAATTTTGCTGATATTCAATATCTACACCGCAGATTTCCCACCTCAAAACTTCTCAGAAGTGGATTTAGTGATGAAATAGCATACGAAAACTGACCATTAAGAGCTTTGTAGGTAAGAAGAATGATTTTAAATTCTATTCTGGATTTTACTGGAAGCCAATGCAAAGAAGCTAAAACAGGAGAAATGTGATCTCTTTTCCTGGTTCCTGTCAGAACACGTGCTGCAGCGTTCTGGATCAGCTGAAGAGTCTTAATGGACTTTTTCGAGCAGCCTGATAATAAGGAATTGCAGTAATCCAGCCTAGAAGTAACAAATGCATGGACTAGTTTTTCTGCATCATTTTTAGACAGGATGTTCCTGATTTTCGCAATATTACGTAAGTGAAAAAAGGCGGTCCTTGAAGTTGGAATAATTTCATGTCAGAACCTTAAAGGTTCAGAAAAATCTTGAAACACTGTTACATGAAGCGAGGATGGGGGAGACTCCTAAAATTAACAAATGGACTTCTTCCCTGCAAGTTAGGATCCAATAGAGTCTTTAAGTACACGTGTTTGTCATTTCTGTTAATTAGTGAGACTTTCTTTCACACTGGAACAGGAAGTCTCTGATCAGCTGATTTGTTTCTCTACAGAGACTCAGAGAGACGAACAATCTGATCAAACCCTCTGATTAAACAGAAACTATGAACACCAGACTGGGCGGAGCAGCAGGACGAGGAGGAAGAGGAGGGAGGGAGTTCTTCATCAGCGCTCACCGCTGCCCTGAAGTGGACCTGCTGCCTTATCACGAGTCTGAGACACAAATCCCTCCGCCGTGTTCACTAGTTCCTGCTGAGAGGAGCGCCTGTACTGGTCAGTCTGAGGCGGATTACCTGGACGTCTCCTCCACCCGCCGCTCCCAGGAGGAGGAAGAGGAGGAGGAAGGGGAGGAGGAGGAGGGGAGTATGAGCGAGTGGTCGGAGGAGGATCTGTCCCTCCATTTCTCTCCCTCCGTCATCCTCCCATCAGACGACGAAGACTCAGACGCAGAGAGCGGCTTCGAGTGTGTCGACGTTACCGTGGAAACGCAGGTGAGTTTCATCTCCAGCAAACTGAGGGAGCATTTTAGTTAATAAACTACTAACTTTCCACACATGACTGGTCTCTGTAATCTAACAAACACATGCAGCCTGAAGTTCTAATAAACTGCAACACCACAACATTTAGCCCCACATTCAATCCCACCAACAGGTATCTCAGAGCGCTTCTCATAAAGAGCAGGGCCCGTATTTATCAGGCTTCTCAAAGTGCCATTTTAGTCTTAAGTGCTGAGAATTCATGAAATTTACTCCTACTTTCAAACCCAAGAATAAAAGCAAGTTATCAAATTTCTCAAAGCTGAGAATCACTCTGACTCTCCCAGTTTTTAAAAAAGCTCCACAGGTCTCTGGTCAGGAGCTGCCAGCAGGGCTGTGATGGGCTGTGGAGACGGAGACATGCGGACAGGAGAGGAAGACTTCTGACGACGCGCAGTAAACCTTTGTCAGCGATGTGCTGAGCGGCGTCATCTCACCTCTGAAGGTGGTGATGACGCTTCGTTTATTCGCCACAGGACAAACGCAGCAGTGCTGATGATTGTGGCCGTCACAACCACCAATAAGCAGAATAGTCATTTTAGCACTTACAGCTCCACACACTGTCAGGCGTTTCATCCACTTCCCAACAACCCCCCCGTAATCCGACAGAAGCAAACACAGTTCATACAGCCGGCAATACAGGAGCAGTGGGCGCTCATATAAAGATAAACTTTGTTTTATCTTTCATTTATTAATGTGTAGGCCCATATCATAATGTATCATTCTATATTGCTACATGTGTGTTGAATATAAACTCCTCTGAGGAATTTGACCATTTAATGTGAATTTATCTTAGAATATTCTTAAATAAGGAAATCTCTTCAGTGATTGGTCCTGGGCTACATCGTCATCCAAAATCTTCTTTGCGGCCCAGCAAAGTGTCGTGAATCAGCACGACTGACACTTAAGATTTAGTCCTACACTTCACTCAAATTAGGATCATGATGCTTGATAACTGACTTTTAAGATATTAAGATTTTTTCACTCTTAAGCACTCCTAGCTGAGAAGCTTGATAAATACGGGCCTGGTCTAGACTGTACTCTGTGACGTTATTTACAGAAAAATGGGATGAGATTAAAAACTGAGGGAGAGAAAGAAGAGGAGAGAGGAGCTCAGTGCATCATGGGAAGTCCCCCGGCAGTCTAGGCCTTGAAGTTTGCTTAACGTGAGACTTAAACGACATGTCCTGTGTTTACATTAATGACGGCTGGTGTAAATCTGTCACGGTCAGAGAAAAGCTCTGTACTGCTGATCTTGAACTGCTTTCGGTCTCTTTACGCCCTCATTATTTGCCCCAAGAGTTTCTTCAGCTGTTTGTCACACTTGTGTATATCCATCAAAAGGCAAATGAAAGTATCGCCTGTGAACTCGTCCACCAAGTAACACAGAGGCTTTAAATAATATCTCCCGACGCCCCTAATATTATTCTTGGTGATAAGACCCACTGGACACTGTCATCAACACTGAGAGACTTTTCTCAGTACGTTACATGCCCGACCTGGCCCAATAAGACTCGTCCGATCATAACTGTGTGCATCTCATCACCGTGCTGAAGGTGCCAAACATGCGGGTGAAGGACTGGACGGAGGCTGCCTGCCGGACTCTTTGGGGTTGTTTTGATTGCACCGACGGGCAGACGTTTGAGGAGTCATGCTCTGATATTGATGAACTGACTAACTAATGTTTTTCCAGATAAAATCATAAAAGTCTATCCAACAGTAAGCCTTGGGCAACGAAGTCCCTGAAAATGCTACTGTGTAAAAAGAAAAAGCATTTAGGGAAGGGATCACCCTGCAGCCGGGAGCTGCCAAAAGAAATTAAAGGTGAAATCAGGGCAGGAAAAATATAAGGAAAAAATCGAGACGCAGTTTAGACTGAATAATTTGGGTTCCGCCTGAGATGGTATGAAAAATATTGTGGGGCTCAAGGAAGAGAGGAGGAGGAAAGCAGAAGTAAATGGTTACACATCGTGCCAGCAGCTGCCAGAGCATTTTCTGTGAGATTTGATGTACTGGATTTTAGCGAGCAACACTCTGTGTTCTTATTAACCCTTTCTTTGATGAGCAGAGTGTGATCAAATGTTTTAAAGGTTGGAGGCCCAGAGTCGTTTTCCAAGAGAGCTGATTGGTCAGTGGGCGGTGCTTTTACAGCGTTGATCTGTCATCTTGAACATAATCTGCTTTTTATTTATCGGATCATCGTATCTTCTTCTTTTGTGTTTTTACCTGTCCAGGTGAAATGTCAGGATGGGGAGGGGCTTAAGATGGTCCCAAAACGACAGATTCAACTGAAGAAGAAAGACGCAGTGAGCGTCGTTGAGCAGGAGAAAACTGAGAAATTCCAGGTATGACTCCTCCTCGTTCACCTGTCCAAACCTGTCTGTCTACCTGTCTGTCTGTTAACCTGTCTACCTGTCCAGGTGACACTTAGAGATGGGCCTGCTGAAGGGGGAGATGCTGACAGTGAGCTGTCAGCCAATGAGCTGCTCTGTCCTACCATCCGTCACCGCCCTGATCTGTTGCTACGGCAACACAGTATGCCCGCCTCCCTTCACACACGCTCAACGACGAGCGGTGATGTCGACAGCCACAGGGTCTACAAAGGTCTGGTCGCAGGGGCCAGTAAAGGTAACCACACCTGTCAGAGAGCTCCTCCCCTTACCTGTAACCACTGACACCTGTTCACAGTCTCATGTAGTTTCAGGTGTTCTGTCACAGCTTCATCAGAACCAGAACCAGAAGGAGCTTTATTGCCTAGTAGTGTTTCACACATAAGAGGAATCTGCTTTAGTGATGAGGTGCTACACGCAGACAAACATACAGCTGACATAAATAAATGTAGAAATATATAAATACGGAATAAACAGATGCAAGTTATATAAGAATAATAAAAGAACAGAGAAAAATAACTTGCAGAGAAAGAACAACGTGGCAGATATTTCCATGTGCATTACTGTGGTTTATGTTGTGCAGACGTGTTACAGCAGAGAGAGTATTGTGAACATAAATATATAAATTGACAATTTAAAAATATAGAACAACAAACAACAAATATGTGCAGGTTTGTGCTGATATGAAATGAAATAATATTTACGTGTGCAGAGACATTTGTATAATTTGAAAGGGGGGAGAGTCAGTGGGAGACCCGGGTCTTGCTGATGAGGCTGCAGACGGGAAGAAACTGTTTTTGTGGCGAGAGGTTTTCTGAAGTCCACGACCATCTCCACGGTCTTTAGAGCGTTGAGCTCCAGACTGTTCTGGCTGCACCAGGTCACCAGATGGTCGATCTCCCACCTGTAGGCGGACTCGTCCCCACCTGAGATGAGCCCAATGAGGGTGGTGTCATCTGCAAACTTCAGGAGCTTGACGGACTGGTGACTGGAGGTGCAGCTGTTGGTGTACAGGGAGAAGAGAAGGGGGGAGAGAACGCAGCCCTGAGGTGAACCAGTGCTGATGGTCCTGGAGTCAGAGACATGTTTTCTTCACGTACTGCTTCCTGTCTGTCAGGAAGTCAGTGATCCACCTGCAGGTGGAGTCAGGCACGCTCAGTTTCGGGATGATGGTGTTGAAAGCAGAGCTGAAATCCTGGCGTAGGTTCCTGGGGAGTCCAGGTGCTGGAGGATGTAGTGAAGCTCCATGTTTACTGCATCATCGACAGACCTGCTGGCTCTGTAGGTGAACTGCAGGGGGTCCAGGAGTGGGTCTGCGATGGATTAAATTTTACCCCCAAAAAGTCCCTGCTCGGGGGGGTAGTACTTTCCCAAAGTACCGGTACTTTGGGGGGGCGGGGCTTGCCTTGCAGTGAACTTCTTTTTTTTTTTTTTTTTTTTTAAACCTGTCCTGCCCAGCAGCCTGGTATAGAGTATAATGACCTGGATACCATATTGTGCCAGACAGATTTTACTTTAACAAGAGAGTATTAAAATACTCCTTTGTCTGTTTTATTATTTATTTAATTATGTATTGATTTGTCACCGGGCCGGACAGGGGGGCAGACACGGGGATGGGGGGGCACAAACAGACAGCACAGAGTTTGCAGTGAACTTCTAAATGTGCGAGTAGAAGCTACTGGCTTTAACTGGAGAATGTCGGCTGTTTTTCTACAACTGCTCCTATTTTCCACCGTTGTTTGCAAACCAATAATCCTCATCAGCAGTCAGAGAGTCTCCCGAGTCTCGCTGACGTCGCCTGAGATCGAACAGCTGATGGAGTTAAGCTAAATACTGGATCCAGAGTTGTTGTTTGAAGTTTTTCCAGAGAGCCGAAGGCGTCTCTTCATTATCCTTCCACACAGAAAGCTGTTTTTATTGGTCAAGGACAGCCTGCAGTTTTTCATTATATTCCACTCAAATTTGATGGTCATTCACAGAAGCTGATGTTGGACGTCACAGCCTCAGTAAACTCATCCAGATTGTTGGTAGCAGTCCTGAAAACATCCCAGCTATGCAGTCCAAGCACGCCTGGAGGTCCTCAGCTTCACTGGTCCACTGCTTTGATGTCCTCACTACAGGTTTACAGAATAAAACGGTTTACAGTTAATGATAAGAAATTCCAGATCAGGAGAACAGTGTTGCTGAATTGTTAATATAAAAACAGACACCTCCACCTTTTGTTTTGCCGGAGAGTTCTGTGTCCGCTCTGTACAGTTGGAAGCCGGCCAGCTTCATGTTAATGTGATGATGTATTTCCTGCAGCTGCTTCACAATAAAAGCCTTCCATTTAAAGAACGTAATGACGGACTGCTTTTTCCTCATTAAAAAACTCGTCTCCTCTGGTTTCATTGATTTTAAAAAGTGAGAAATATAAATGAAGAAGTTATACAGGTTCAGCAGGTCTGACGCTGTGTTTGTTGTTTTCAGGGCTTCATGTTGGAGGAAACTCGAGGCAGCGACTGCAGAAGTCCTTCTCATTGGACGAAACTAAAACTAAGATGGCGTCCTGCATCATTAAGAGCGTTCTGTCTAAGAAGATGCAGGTGGAGCAGAACAACTCTAAAAGCTCCCGTCTGCAGAAGAAAGCTGCTGGGTTCCCCGCCCCCCCCCAGCCTGCAGACCAGCAAAGGGGGAGGGAGGGGGGAGGAGGGAAGACAGGTGGAGGTGTGTTTAAAGCTCCAGTTCATGTGGTGAGAGACATGAGGAGTTTAGTTAAAAACACCTACAGCCTCTCGTTCTCCACAGCAACACATGACAACAACAAGCCAGCACGCTTGAAGGTGATTGGTCAGGAGGTCAGCCCTCCCCCCACCTACCAGCAGGCTTTGGGGGTCAAAGGTCACAACGAAACAAAGAGGAGCTGTCAGGCTTCACTTTACAGCAGCTCCGGAGGGGGACACGTCCCCAAGGTCAATGCATCTCTCAGCCAATCACAGGACAGAAAACAGAGTAACATATTCAGTCGTCCAATCACAAAGCAGAGGCGAGGCAGCGAGCCGACAATAAGTAGAAGAAAGATGGATGATGTCACCCGGCCTGTCATGTTGCTAGACCCGCCCACCAACTCACCTCTCAGCAGTGACCTGTCAGAGCTCAACCAGTCAGAGAGAGCCAGAGGAGTGAGTCATCAGGCTGGGACCTCCCTCCTCCCTCCTCCCCCCTCCACCTCCAGGCACCCTCAGGGGACCCAGCCTCTGCTCCCTGCCCAGGAACAGAGCTCCATCCTGGGTGTGTCCTCTCAGTTTGCCCCCGGTTCCTCCCAGCAGCTCCTCCAGCCCTGCTTCTACACCCCCACCCTGCACCCTCACCTGGGGAAGGTCAGCTACCTGCACAGCCATTTGAGCTACATTCATACCCCCTCCACATCTGCTCCCACCTTCCACCTGCTGAGGAGGTCTGAGGAGAACCAAAGCAGGTCGACAGGAAACCCCTCCGTCCAGCCAGACATCATCAAAACCTGCCCTCCTCACCGGACCAGGACCGCAGGAGACCAGGAGAGTGACGGCAACACGGTGACACCTGCACCACAGGAGCAACATGAGCAACAGAAACCTCAGCAGCCGCCGTTTCTGTGCAACTTTCAGGGTTACTTACCTTCACAGGTGGGTAGTGACATTGTTGACCTCACAGGTTCTGTTGCAGTCCGCTTCAGCGGCACAGCCCCCTTTCACGTGAGGTTAGACCCTAAAAGTGGGCGGTGCTTCTATGTGGACACACCCCCGCAGCCTCAGAGGAAGATGCTGCTGGATCCAGAAACCGGTCAGTACATCCAGGTGTTCCTACCTGTAGCCAGCTCCTCCTCCAACACCTGCATGTTCCCAGTGCACTATGCGAACCCCGCCCCCACTTTGATAAGCCCCGCCCCCACTGTCATGTCAGTGATGCAGTTTCAGCCAATGGTTGCCGCATCCTCCATGTATGCCCCCCCCTGCCTCCCCTTCACCCTGCACACACCATCAGTCAACCACACCCATACAGCGCCATGATGACATCACGGTCTGTACGAGGACCTGCCGTGTTTGTCTGCAACCAGAACATTTTTAATTCAGCAAACCAAGTCCGAGTAAAGTGGAGTTAGCCACAGCTGGAACATCCTCCTCTTTAATTGGGTGTGAAGGCTGCCTATGTTATTGCAAACCTTTATTATTTCATATTTATTCTTCTGTCACGTTTTTTTGTCCGCTACCTAGTCCCACAGCTTTTGAACTGAACAAACACAGACAGACAGACAGAGACCTCAAAACATGGAGCTTTAAGCTTTACTGCATTGGAGAACATGCGTATGCGTAACTGTGAGTTATGCACACACACACATTAAAGGAGACTTATTAGGCTTCTTATATTTTCTGTCCTATGTATAATGTTTCAGTGTCAGATGTTGATGTTAAACGTGGCCAAAGCTCTACTCTTAGCTCTTAATGATGTCATACAGAGTTGGTTTTCCATATATGCTAATTTTCTTGCAGCCTCAATAACAACGGGCAACTCGTACACTGAAAAGAATCATAGACCCATTTAGTCATGTCAACTTACTTCTTCTTTTTAACTCAAATAGCTCCGACAAGTTTTGGATTTTGAACTCAACTGTATGAGTTTTAGAAAGTTAAACTTGCATTAATTCATTGTGTTGACTATTTGACACTTTTGTCGTGTTGACTGAACTTACGTATGTAAGTTATCAGTTGAAAAAAGGCGAGAGTATGAGGATTGCCTAGGTGCTGCGTCTTTTGAGTTTGAGAAAAACACATACACAATCAACTAATTAGTAGGGTTTAGCAAGTACTTGGTTAAAACGAGTATCCGGTACAGATACTTTCTATGAGTATCATTAGAGTAAAATGTGTCAATATCTTTTTTGTTATAAACTATAAATATATGAATATAAAAAAATCAATTACTGTTCTCTGAAGATCAATTCTGAGGCTGTTCTGTAAATGTTTTTTCTAATAAATATAGCAAGTTCTGATAAAAATTTCAGGCTTAAATAACTTCCAGTTAATACCACCCACTTATAGATTAAGCCCCACCACTTCTGAGTACAGATACAGAAAATTTGGTGTTCATGCTCACCCCTGCTAATTATACACTGCAGATAAGTCATATATTCAAATTCCAACCAAAATATAGACACTTCTGTGGTAAACAAGACTAGTGCCACCGGTGGAAAGGGTTCCAGACAACGGCCTAAGGCCCTTTCAGAAAGGAGGTGACATCTGCTGCTATTTTGAACTTTGACTACAACGTGCACAGGCGCACCAGCAAGCTGCCTGCCCCGTCACAAGTCATTGAAGATAATAGCACAGTGGTGCTGTTGTTGTGGTCTGTCTTCAAGGCCATTTAAAGATGTAAACTTGAAATGGAAAGTAGTATTAATTTGGTTAAGTTGCTTTAACTTGAAACTATGAGTTAGAATAACTCAAACTTGTTCATTTAACTAACATTGGGACAACTAGAACACTGTAGTTATATCCACTTTATGAACTTAAATTTATGAGTTGAAACAGGCTGAAATGAGAGCTTGCATGAAGTTTAGAAATCCAGTTTAGCAACAGCCAGCATTCACACCTAGTCTAGTCTCTTCTTATTATTACTCTTATTGTGGAAGTCTCCACTCCATCTGACAGCAGAAGTATCTCAGTGATCATAACTTGACTCTTATTGTGAAAAACTTGCATGTATTTAGTACAGCAGAGTTTTGTCACAGCAGCATCTTGTGGACGTTTAACGGACTGCAGGAAATGATCAATAAACTTGTTACAGTGCTTTCAGTAATATCAGTTGTAATAAAAGAAGAACTTTATTTAAAATCTCCTTGAATTTTCCTTGATAAAGATGATATCTGATGGATCAATACTGTCCACAGAGTGTCAGGTCATCGTACAGAAATTATTCCAAATCCTGATTCAGAAATATCGATAAGCTAAATTAATTTATATGTATAAAAATTTGATACTTCAGATTTGGTATTTGATAATAAATTATTTCCGCAGTGGATCCAAAATAGAACCAGCTATTGTTACCCGAGCCTCTGCTCAGTGTGAGGAAGTTAAATTTCTTACAAGAAGTTTAATAATTTACTTTAAAAAAATAATTAAAGAAGAGGTATTCTATTCATTTTCAGGTTCCTCATCTTATTAAGAGGTTGTTTCAGCACAGGTTTCCATGGTTATATATTTGTCCTACTGCACATTGCTGCAGCTCCTCTTTTCAGCCTGTGTTGAAGGCTTCGTTTTAGCTATGGAGTGATACATCTTGTCTCTAAATGATCTTTGTTGGGAGTTGCACATGCTCAGTTCCTAATTAAGGACTACTAGCCAATCAGAAGCAGAGAAGGGCGGGTCGGCGAGAAGCCGGTAAACGGCTCGGGTTCAGCCGTACGTGTTGCCGACCGGCTCGGCAACACGGACTGGAGCGAGAGTTTCAGAGCGGTGAGTTATTAATCTGTATCCATAAAGTTTTAACTGAGCTCTGTCTCTACATCACAGGAACAACTTTCTGTCCACTGACTGCCTGGAGGGTAGCTAGTGTTTGGAAGGGAGAGGAGAGCTGTGTGCTGCAGCTCGCTGTTTCTGAGGGCGTGTCGGAGTAGCCGCTCAGCGAGCGTTATATGAGGCGCATTTAGCTTTCATCCCTGTGACGTCACAGGGATGAAAATATTTAAGCTAACATAGCAGCTAACATGTAGCTAACGCAGCAGCAGAGTCTGCTTGCTGTCACTGAGAGCTCACTGGTTATTCATTTGATAGTGATGTTTTTGTTTATCAACTCTCGGTGTTTGGTTGTAGTTTGATTTTTACAGTTTTGTACTAAAGCTGCTGCTTTTTTTTACAACCTGAAGTCATGAAACAGATGAAGAATAGACATGAAGACATTAACTTTATTCTCTCTGACACACTGGCCCAGGAGCACTTTGGCAGCTCGTTCCATTAAATCACGAGTACAGATTTAAACTTCGGAGTGAAACCTCTTGGCAGAAATGGAATAAATGTTTTCACTTGGGTTTAAGCACATGAAAATAAGAGTTGTGTTTTCGTTACCTTAGAAAGAGCCTTTATGAGTCCGCCATGTGGCACCGCTATGTTTCTACAGTAGCCCAGAAAGGAAAAAGCAAACACTGGCTCCATAGAAGGTGTTTGTGTTTTTCACGCGTTTTCTCCTACACGCCTGTGAAAATCTGCAACCTCCCTGCTACTAGAAGCCCCCAAACCTGCACTCGGGTCATTTAAGAACAAACAAAAATTCAGAACTGATCACAATAAAAAGGAATGTTGATTCTGACAGATTTACATTCACAGTGGTTATACATTTAAAAAGTGACTTTCCCTGTTTATTTGGGGTGCCACGTGGTTCTGAACCTGGTCCTGAACCTGGTTCTGAACCTAGTTCTGTACAAGGAACCTGGTTATTTTCCAGAAATGATAAATATGTTTGATATCACCTTTAAAGATTTATAACATCCATTTTAATGTAAAACAAATACAGAATGTTTATTGTTATTGTTGTTGTTTTTCTTTTTCCTCACTTGTGTAGTTTAAAACACATTATATTAAGAATGATTTTGTCTTTCATGTTGATAAAAACTGTTTATTTTGTCACTTTTTGCACCATTTTCTGACAGAAGTTTTTTTACAGTGTCTTTTCTTACACTACTATTACTGATTATTTTTGGATGTCATAAACAAAATAAATGAAAGTAAGAAAGCGTCTCCTGTTCAGTTTCTTGAGGTCCTCTTCATGGTTTCCATGGTAAGAGAGGCTGCACACTGTTCTTAATATCTGGTTGTGATTGGTCCAAACTGAGTCTCTGACATCATCACGTCACAAATTGGATTCTGTTTGGTGAGTAAAGTCTGAACGAGGAGACATGAACGCAGCATCACCTGGAAAACATTTTCACGTTTCTGATTTCATTTCATTGGATTTATGAGAGACGTCACAGGTTTGATCCCTGCTCAGTGGACGCTGACTGGTCACATCTTGGTACTGGTGTCAGCAGCTTCTTCCTCCTCCTCCTCTCCTCCTCGTCCTCGTCCCTCCTCGTTGGGCGGCGGCAGGTCGTCAGACGGCCAGAAACCTGTGAAGGTGGGGCTGATGGGAAACCGTCTGAGCCAACGAGTCCGCCTGACAACCCCCATCCCCAGAGGAAGATCATAGGAGGAAGAGGAGGAGGAGGAGGACCTCCACTCCACTAAACCTCGCTCCTGTCTGGACCCTGAAGACAAAGAAAACATTGTGTGAACACAAACACACCAATCACATGACAGCATCTTCACATTAATGAAAAGGAAACAGGTTTCATCCACTGAGAGTCTGTCCGCTTATCGTTCGATTGAGGACATAAAACTGTAGCATTTAGCTCGCCGTCAGCGGCCGAGCAGTGGCTAACGTTAGCTAACTTGAGCCAGCTAACGCACGTTATCCCAACATATTTCTCATGGTTTGCAGTGACGTTCATGAGCTGATACGGCAGCAGGTTCCTGAGTTTCCGAGTTGTTTCGTCACACCGCCCCTTCAGCTGAAAGATATTTCCACAGAGACACTGAATGAAAACACTTTCCCATCCTGTGTCTGTAAAAGGAATAATGGGTCCAGTTTTCTCTACATGCACACAGCGCCATGTTTCTTTTCTTGTTTTTGAGAGCTCAGTTTTTGCAGTGCAGAAGTTTTCAGACGACAGTGAAGACTACCTCACAAACATGTCTGTGTTTATTAATCAGAATCAGCTTTACAGGCAAACAAACCTACATAATAAATAGATCCAAAATGTAAAAGAATAATAAAGACTAGCACTTATTAACATGAGCATCAGCTCTGTATGTGGAAACATTTACAGTTTAAGCTGAAGAACAAAGGTCACAGCTAACTCGTGGTAAATTTATCCTCTAGCAGTTTTTGCAGTTTCAGGGGATCTGTGATTATAAAGATGTAATGACATCAACTAAAATGAAGCTAATGTGCAACACAACAAATGCTGAATAGGAAATGTTTATAGTCTGAGATTACAATGCTCAGTAAAATATCCAGTAATACAAACTGCATGCGTCAGCGTGAGTTCACTCATTGATTTAATAACAACTTACTGATGTTTTTAACCTGCATTTAACTCGCTTCTGCGCGTTATTTGTTATTTCTGTGTGTCCGGCACTATCATGTATGTCGGACCCCAAACATAAGAAGTACCGATGGCCCAGGGCCGGTTTGTGCTGGGAGTTTGGTTTTAGCTTTTAGAGGACTCGTTAGCTGCGATGTTGTTTCTGTGTGTACGGTTCAGAATCAAGAGGCGGGAGGCTCGGGAGCGAGCGTGCTGAAAAACCCGACCCCGAGTCTTCACATAGGATCCATTGATCCTGGCTCCTGACTGATTGGCTGGCAGATGGATTTTTTTATGTCTGGGGATGTCTGGGGGTGCGTCCTCTCGCCTCTTTTATATGTGCTGTACACCAACTGTGTCAACGCCAAAACGTGAAGCGTCGTCGCTTTAAGTTTGCTGACGAACCAGCGATGGTGATGACCCCGATTTCTGGATTCTGTTCTTACATTCTCATTGTGTGTGTGTGTCTCTGTGTGTGTTACCTGGTATCGTGTTGTCGAGACAAAAGGCCAGGAAACCTCCTACAAACATCTCAGTGGACAGAAGAACCGTCAGGATCTGATCCAGTTCTGCAAGACCTGAACACACAGAGACCTGATCTGTAGGATCCACATCAGCTGATCTGTAGGTCTTTACAGAGAACAGACTTCCTGTTTTACCTGAGAGCCAAATCGTGATTATACATCAATCAGCCGTAACGTTTAAACCATCTGCTGACCCCCCTTTTGCTACCAAAACGGCCCTGACTCGTCAAGGCCTGGACTCCTCTGTGTGTTCTGACCCCTTTCTATCAGAACCAGCATCAGCTTCTTCAGCAGTCTGACCAATAGCAGTTCGTCTGTTGGATCGGACCCCACGGGCCAGCCTTCCCTCCCTATATGGTCCCCCACGACCCTGTCCCTGGTTCACAGCTGTTCTGATAGGTACTGACCACTGCAGACCGCTTTAGAGATGTTCTGACCCAGTTGTTGAGCCACCCCAGTTCTTCTGATGGTGTGAATACAAAGCTGCCTGATACCTGAGCACTTTATCAGAAACAGGTGAGAGAGACGCGATGAGTCTGACAGCAACAAACATCAGGATCAGTGAGAGAAAGCAGATTCTGGTTCTGTGGCAGCGGCTGCAGTCCGACTCAGTAAAGAGAGGACAGCTGAGAGAATATATTAAACCTTTGACATCACACAGTTACAGGTTCCGTTATCGCAGTATGTGGTGCAATATCACAAGTCCAAACTGGTCACACCTGGAACAGAGCCGGCCCACACGCGTTTCACGTCACCTTAGAAGTACTGACAGTACTGCACTGCAGTACTTTAACAGACAGAGTACCCAGTTTTCACATTAGGCAGTACACTAACACTACCCAACATGTACACAATCCATCATTTCCATCTATCCTATATGTGATCAAGTTGTGATCAATGAAGAGAAAACTCTCAGTGCTCAGGGTGAATCTGAAGAAACAACAACACATACGTGTAAGTTAAACTCACGTTTCAGGGATGATCTGCGAGGAACAATGAGCAGAGTGACAGCAAAAGGTTCTTTAACAACAGAGTTCTGCAGGTACTTGGTATGAACATGATGTATTTCAATGTGTCTTTCTACTTGTTTTTGTTGTACTACGAGTGGTGAAATATTACCACATACTTGTGTGAATAGTACAACAGCAACAGAAAAGAAACTGTATGAAAGTTTAGCTGCTTCCTCTCCAGCGTCATCCATCTCCACCTGTTGCAGTGTGTTGTATTTAACGGATTATGATCGCTCACCTGCTCAGCTCACCTTTAGTGTCAAGACACAGACACTCACCTGTGTGGATGGACTTCGGATGTGTGTCGAGATACGTCGGTAGAGTCAGCCCGAAGAACATCGAGAACCCGAGAACAAAAAGATTTCTGGATGAGTTCAAATCCACCAACTGCAGGTTAGACAGGCCAACAGCTGTGATCATACCTGAGAAATATCAACACACCTGGATTATTATTACATCACTAACTCACCTGAGAAATATCATCACACCTGGATTATTATTACATCATTAATCCATATGACCTGTGACTCACCAAACAGTGTGCAGAACATTCCTCCAAGGATCGGATCCGGCAGCGAGGCGAACAGAGCTGTGAACTTCCCAATTGATCCCAAAAGGAACATGATACCCGCTCCGTACTGCACCACCCGCCTACTGCCCACCTGCACACAGGGT